CTTTGCTCATCACTCCTCCCTCTCTGCAACTGGATTACAGGAATTCGAAAAGCCAAAACAATTTCTAGTGATCTCCCTTCACTTCCCAAAACTGACTTGAAAGTGATGAATCAGTATGAGAGCAAACACAGATTTTGGTTCTTCGGATTCTCATCATGTCATGAACCCCTAGAGGAGATAAAAATGCTGTAAAACTCTCAAGTACTGGGAGGCAGAAGTGCAGTGCAGCGCTGCTCAGGGTACTCATTGACAGCAAGTTGAAGCAGAATGCTAAGCAGGGAGGGCACGAATGACATTTGCCAAGTTCCTCTCCAGAGGGTGGAGTGACTCAAGTGCTTTTAAAGAGGCAGAGCCAGGAAGGGTATGTCTGACTAAGAGACCAGCCAGGATAAGTGACTTTTGTTATGTAACACTAAGCAGCTGGAGACTTACTGCAGAGGAATGTCCTTTGTACACACTTATAATGGATTTGAAAAGATTATTTCTTTTTACAATGTGCTTTAAGAAGCCAGTGACGTGGAAGGCACCCTTTATTTTTATTTATTTGGGGGGAGGAGGGGCTTGGTTTTGTTCAAATGACAAATCCACCACGGAACAGTTTTTATTAGATTCTTTGGGTGCCACCTAGTGGTAAAATGGAGGAAAGCAATTGGGAGTTAATGAAAATTAAGAACAAATTCTATTTCCTAGATATGAAAAATTGTATCATGGAAAGCTGATTTTGAAGGAAAAATAATTAATGTCCACTGGTACAAACCAGGCATTCTGGAGAAGTTAGGAAGTCTGATATCTAACCATTGCTTAATCTCTGCTGGTATACTGTATAATGGATGTGAACCTATTTAAAATAGCATAAAAATCTAAAAGAAGGTGAAGATTGCAGAGATTGTCTGCAGTTTACTTTACAGGTACATTTAAAAATTGTGGTGTTACCTCTCAAGATAATTTTAAACAGTATCAGAATTCTTTAAACACAAAGCATTGTCTTACTGTATAATCCTCAAAACCATTTTAGACGTACTTTGCAGAGTTTGAAATGGGCATGAAAATGATAACAACAACAACAACCACACACACACACACACACACAAACACACACACACACATACACACACACACACAAACCTAAGGTATTCAGGCTCTGAGGCTGGTGTATTTCACTTTACACATTTATTTACTTTGCACACTCACAATGAAATAGGAAATATTACTATCACCCCTTTTTGATGAGCTGTGCGTGTTACGTAGTTACAAATAAACCTTGCCACCTATACAAGGAAACTGTTATGAGTAGTTTTCCCACCAGCCTGGTCCTAATGCTGCATCATCCCCAAATAACACACAGAGACACTGTATTATATATAAGCTGTTGGCCTGTTACTGGTGTTTATTATTGGCTAGCTTTGTCTTAAATATTAACCCATTTCTATCAATCTAAGTATTTACACGTGGTCTTATCTTACCAGAGAGAGGGTCCTGACCTCTTACTCCTCTTGGTTCTACATTTCGAACTCTCTTCTTCTACATCTCCCAGAACTCCCCTTTTCTCCTAGTCCCACCTATCTTGCCTTCCTATTGGCCAGCAGTGCTAATAAGAGAAACATATTTACAGAATGATATCTCCCATCATCTCCTCTTTTCGGTCTAAAATAAAAAGAAGGGTTTTAACATTTAAATAGTAAAACTACATATAACAAAACAGTTAACAATATTTAGTCCATTAATATTTAGAAGATTTAAAGAAAATATTCCATCATATATCCTTTCTTTTCGAGTCTAAAGTCTTATATGTAACTTATCTTTAATCATAACTAAGGAAAACTATAACCATAACTATCTGTCTTCAACTCCATCAAAGACCACAGTAGGCTAATATATAAACTCTAGAAATGACAGAGACATCTTGCTTCCTGGTCAGTCACCCAAAATTCTTCTGAATTATTCTATCTTTAGCCTATAGGTCATAGTGTATCTGGCAGACTCCTCAGCAAAGGAGGAAACTTTAAACTGTCCACGTGTATTGGCAGTTTGTCAATCATTTTTCTATGTGTCCTGCAGAACGTTTGGCAGACTCTTCCATGAAACAGGAATCCTGTAGTAATATCCAGCTTGTATCAGTAGTCACTTTCCTATGGGTCCTGCATGTCCATTTTATATAGCATAAAGTCAAACAGTCCAGACAAGAGCAGTATCTTGCACAAAAGGATATTTTGCCATATTGAGAGTAAACTCCACAAGTTTCTCCCGATGTTCATCTTCTTTTCTGACACAGGTGGTGTTGGTTTTTCACAGACTTCAACTGTTAACAGTGTGTCACACAAATACAATATATCAAGCTATACTTCTTTTGCAATGAGCTTTTGACAGAGGTATATTGATATTCTGTAGATAAGAATCTAAAGTCAAATGATACAGCTGGTTGATAATCAGCTTAGCACAATAGACACATGAAATGCATTTTGGGTATTGAGCACCAATGAAGCTTGTCTTCATGTAAAACATATGTATTCAAATATTCAAAGTGGCTTTATTTATAACACCATAGAAACAAACCAGCTGTTTCTTTACAGGTGAATGGTTAAACAAATTGTGATGTAGTCATAACTCAAAAATGTTATGCTAAGTGAAAAAAAATCCCCCCTCAAGTTATGTGCTGATTTGGTAGATACACCAACATATGAATGCAATAAATTATGTAAAACTAAGCACACACAATTAATTCCAAATAAATATAGGGAAATATAGGGAAATCACATGGATGACATAAGCATTAGTATCCTGGTTGTAATATTCTTAAAAGGTGCCATTCTTGAAAAAATAACTGAATGGTACATGGATATCTTGTAATTGAATGTGAATCTAGGAATATATCAAAATAAAAAGTTTAATATAAAGTAGATATCCCTGGGAAGTACATGGAAGCAGAAGAAAACAGACTCTCAAAACTTGTCCTCTGACTTCCCTCCTTAAGTGGGATGTGGATGTGTACATCTCCTCACAAAAATAAGAAACTTAATGCAATAAAAAATTCAAGTAAAAACTAATATAAATATACAATGACTAAAAAAAATCCAAATCCATCTACAAGTAACTCTAGCCAAGGAAGTGAAATAATTTTTCAGTGACAACTGTTGAGGAGGACACGATTGCAGAAAGGCATCCCATGCTTACAGGTTGGAAGAATTAATACAATCAAAATGTCTACTTTATCCAACGTATTCTAAAGATTCAGGGTAATTTCCTCACAGAAAGATTGGAATAAAAAAGGACACCAAAGCAAACTTGAGCAAAAACAACAAAATTGGAACTAATAGTGTATACAATTTCCCATCCACAAAACATGGCATGCACATAGTAGGCATGCACATGAAAAGAAAAGAACTCAGAAATAGCTCCAACTATTTAGAGTCAACTGGGTTTCAGACAAATCTCCAGAACTGACATCAGAGAAAACAGTTTCCTCAACAGAGGTCCAGGCAGACTGGATATTTACACAGAGGTGAGTCAAAGCAGACCACTTCCTTCAACGTCTCCAAAAGTCAGCTTGAAGCAGACTGAGGGTTACAGGTAACCCAGAAACCTAGAGTTGCTGGAAGACAGATATACTCATACACCATGTCTGGGAAGAGTTTAGAAATGACTTGTTATTTATTTATTGTTATTGAAAATTTAAAATTTTTATTTATTTTTACTTTTATTTTACATATCAACTCCAGTTCCCTCCCTCCGTCCCTACCTCTTTCGCTCTCTCCCCCCCTCACATGCACCCAAACCACCGTCCCCTCCCATCCCCCTACCCACTCCACATGTAGGGTGATGCCATCCAGGAGGGGTCATCTAAATCTGTCAATTCATTTGAAGTAGGGACTAGGACTTCTCTCCTGTCTTAAGGCAGTATCCCTCCATGGGAGATGTGCCCACAAGGTCCTTTTGTGCACAAGGATTACATCCTGGTTCCACTGTCTGAGGTCCCTTAGACTGCTCAGGCCTTCTAGCTGAGACCCATGTTCAGGGGGTCTGAGTCAGTCCCATGCTGGATTCCCAGCTATCAGTCTGGGGGCCCCTTAGCTCCTCCTTGTTCAGGTCAGCTGTCTCTATATGTTTCTACAGCCTGGTCTTGTCTTCCCTCTCTGAATCTGGATTCTAGTTTGGCTCAATGTTTAGTTGTGCGTGTTTGTTTCTGTTTCCAACAGGTACTGGATGAGGGTTCCATGATGGTGGATAAATTAGTCGTTGATCTCATTATTGGGAAGGGCATTTACTGCCTTTCTACTGTTGTTCACATTGTTAGTTGGATTCAGTCTTGTAGGTCTCTGGACATTTCTTTAGGTTCAGTTTTCTCTTCAAACCTATAATGGCTCCCTCTTTATGTTCTCTCTCTCTCTCCCTCCCTCTCTCTCTTCTCTCTTTTCTCAAGGCCAGACCCATCTGCCCACATAGCAGGATATGTCTCTGTAGGAAAAGGGTAGGTTCTCCACAACCCCCTAGAAGTAAGGCCAAGTCCTAAAGCAGAGCTGTGTCCTCACTCAAGACACACTGGCCTGTCCAGTGCTATCGCCTTGCCTGCAAGAACGACACTCAACAACAGGATTCTTCTGCCGCTATGTTTATTGCGCGGCTCATTACAGCAAGTTGAGGGAAGACCCCGAGGAGGAAAAAGGGCTCTGCTTATATATGCTCAGAGGAGTCATGTCCGTTACTGACTGTTGCAGCCCACAACGCTCGGAACGGTCACCCCATGATGTGGATCGCGCATCCGCGCCTTGCTAGCTTATGGACAGGAAACTGGCGGCATCTTCGGGAATGGCACCGGTGGCTCTCTACACTGGCCAAAGTTGCTTCTGTTGTAACAGAGGGCATCCCCATCCTGGAGCCCAGCAGCTTTCTACGGCCTGAGCTTAGGCTGGGACCCTTGGACCAAGCTCTTCAGCTTCAAGTTCAACATGACATATTAAGACAAGAAAATTATCTTTTTGTTATAAAAATGACTCCCACCTCTCGTGGCCAGAGCCTTACAACATTGTAGTCTGTCACTCTGGCTCCCCCATGAGCTACTGGTTGTTGCATCCTTGCGAGGCTGAGGAGCCGCCTGCTTGCTTTTTCCTCCGCTTGTTGAGGAGCCGGTTGTTAGAGGTCTTCAAGTCCTTGATCTTCACCTGGTCATAGTCTACCCGCATGGTGGCCAGGGCACTGGTCATTTCCTCCTTGACTTCATCCCAGTGGTCTTTATCTTCCTGTAGCACTCTGGCTGTGTGGAGTGGGGTCTGTGGGACCACCATTGATTGATTGATCCAAGAGTGGTTCATGAACTGCATGATGGTCAACCTTTCTGTAGGGTCTGTTTTCAGAAGCAGGCGGATTAGCTGCTTGGCATCCTCAGAGACATCTGACCACTCAGGCTTGGGGAAGCCATATTGGCCCAAGCGAATCCTTCTCTTCATGCTTGGAGAGATGGCCTGTCCAGTGTTGGAGTAGAAGGGTAGGAATCCACACAGAAGGATGTACATAATGACATCATGTCACATGACTTGTCATACTTCTCTGGACCCAGGACCTCAGGAGCCACATAATAGGGAGTATAACAGGGTGTCTGCAGCACATTTTGGGTGGTTTCCTTGGCAAAGCCAAAATCGGTGAGCTTAAGCACTGCATCTCTCTCCTTGGATGTATAGAGTAGGTTTTCAGGCTTGACATCTCTGTGGGCGATGTTCTGGCTGTGCAAGAACTGGATGGCAGTGCCAATATCCCGCATTATCTCTGCAGCCTCTCTCTCAGTGAAAGCCTGGTCACCACGTTCCTGGATCCTGCTGAACAGCTCACCACCTTCCATGCATTCCATGACGATGAGGAGGCCGTGCTTGCCATGATGCATGTTCTCATACACATCCAGGATTTTCACGATGTGGGGGCTGCCTGAGGCCTGCCAGTGGTGGTCCACCTCCTGCCGGGCCTTGGGGCTGTCATACAGGAGCTTCAAGGCACACTTCTGCCCAGTGCGCTGATGGTAGCACTCCAGCACCTTGCCGTTCACACCCAGGCCCAGCACCTGCTTGGATAACTGATAGTCATCAGTCACCGCGGACTTCTTGGGGTCTCGTTGCAGACCCCAAGGTGGGCCCTCCTAGTGCACCTGGCAGGGGCACAAGACTCCCCTTTTCCCCTGCTGCCTCGCCATCCATGGCTCCCACGGGGCGCTCGGAGGTAGCCCTAGCCCCAGCCTGGCGCGTTCAGAGGCACCTGGCAAAGGTGCACTTGGTAGCAATGCACTACACAGAAGCCATGTTGCAGGCCAGACGGGTAAGGAATAGTGATCGGGTATCTGGGAGCCGAGGGGCGCCCTGGGCCCGAGTCTATCTCGGCCCCCATGACCCCTAGCCTGTGTCTTTTTATAGGCGAGTTAAGACCATTAATGTTGAGGGTAAGGACCATTGATTGTTGATGCTTGTTTGTTTTAGATTTGTTGTTGGAAGTGGTCTTGTGGATATATTTGTTCTGCTTTACCCTTAGGTTCTGGTGAAGTGGGATTATCTGTTGCCCATGTCTTTGTGAGCATAGTTAACATACTTGGGTTGGAGTTTTCCTTCCATAAGTTTTTGTAGGGCTGGATTTGTAGATACGTATTGGGAAAATATGGCTTTGTCATTAAATACCTTGTTTTCTCCATCTCTAGTAATTGAGAGTTTTGCTGGGTATAGTAGCCTGGGCTGGCATCCTTGGACACTTAGTACTTGTAGAACATCTCATCCTTGGACACTTAGTACTTGTAGAACATCTATCCAGGACCTTCTGGCCTTGAGGGTTTCCATGGAGAAGTCAGGTGTAATTTTGATAGGTCTGCTTTTATATGTTATCCATCCTTTTTCCTTCGCTGCTCTTAATATTCTTTCTTTATTCTGTATGTTAGCTGTTTTGATTATTATGTGTCAAGGGGTCTTTTTTATTTGCTCCAGTCTATTTGGGGTTTGGTATGCTTCTTGTACTTTCATGGGCATGTCCTTCTTCAGATTTGGAAAGTTTTCCTCGATGATTTTGTTGAATATGTTTTCGGCACCTTTGAGCTGGGCTTCCTCACCTTCGTCTATGCCTATTATTCTTAGGTTTGGCCTTTTCATGGTGTCCCACATTTCCTGGATGTTTTGTGTTAAGGATTTGTTGGATTTGTGATTTTCTTTGGTCAATGAATCTATTTCCTCTAGTTTATGTTCCGTGCCTGAGATTCTCTCTTCCATCTCTTGTATTCTGTTGGTTATGCTTTTGTCAGTAGTTCCCGATCGTTTGCCCAGTTTTTCCATTTCCAGCATTCCTTCAGTTTGTGTTTTCTTTATTGTCTCTATTTCATTTTTCAAGAATTGAACCATTTCCTTCACCTTTTCAATTGTTTTTTCTAGGCTTTCTGTACTTTAAGAAATTTGTTCATTTTTTCCATTTTTTGTTTGTTTTTTTATGCCATTTCTTTAAGGTATTTTCTCACATTGTCTTTGAGGGCTTCTATCATTTTTATGTTAATTTTTAAGCCATTCTCTTCTGCTTAATCTGCTTTGGTGTGTTCAGGTCTAGTTGGTGTAGAGTCCCTAGATTTTGGTGGTGTTATGCTTGTGTTTCTACTGTTAGGTGTTTTCATGTATTGCTGTCTTCCCATTGCTTCTTCCAGTAGGTGTAGGTGGGATCTCTCTCTCTCTCTCTCTCTCTCTCTCTTTCTCTCTCTCTCTCTCTCTCTCTCTCTCTCTCTCTCTCTCTCTCTCTGGTACTCCCTAGGTGGGCTTAAGTGGATCATAGATTCAATGTTTTTAGATCTGGGTGGTCCAAGCTCTCTAGGAGGTCTCTCCTCAGGATGGGGCCAGGCGATGGGGGTCAAAGATCAGAAGGCTGGGGCTCAGGATGTTCTGTGTGTAGATAGGCAAATCAATCCTGGGCCTGGCACTCTCCAGCTAAGGCCTCTTTAGCAGAGGGGGTCATGGATTCAGCCTGCAGGAACTCAGAGTGGCCCCTCAGGGATAGGCATATCTCTGGGAGGGAATTGGAACTCCTGCAGAGATCAGCGGTGGGGGTCAGAGACCAGGCAGGTACGGATTACAGGTGGTCCTGAGTGGATAGGCAGGTCTGGTGTGTTCGGAGACACTCCTGGAAGTTCCCCGAATGTGGCAGGATTGTTGGCTCTACCTTCTGTCTCAGTGCTCCACCAGAGCAGTGGGACAGTGGGCAAGGTAAGGCACAGGGTAGGGGAAGGGCAGGCTCTTGGTGGGGGTGAGTGTGTATCAGAGCTCCAAGAGGGCTCTCTATGGGGACAGGACATAGGGGGAGCAAGATCCAGGACCAATCCAGGGAGTTCCCAGGGAAGGGTGAGTGTGTGTGGGGGGATGCCACCCGAAAGCCACCCGAATTGGTCCCAGACTTACCTCTAGCAGAGGCCTGGCGATGGGGGTCAAAGACGATGGGGCTCAGGATGTTTCTGTACTAATAGGCATAGGCAGATATAGCTGCCTGGCACTCTTCAGCTGAGGCCTCTTTAGCAGAGGCTTGGCGATGGTGGTTAAGGATCCAGCCCTCAGGAACTCAGAGTGTAGAAATGATTTTAAAAGCACAGGCAGCAAGAGGTTTGACAGCTGAGATTATATAAAACCAAGGCATTTCTTCTCAACAAGCAAATTCATCTACAGAGTGAAGCAGCAGCCAGAAGAACAGGAGAGAATTTTCTATTTATTCATAAAAGGTTTACATCCAGCACTTCAAAACCTTCCACTATCATAGTTATCACCATCATCAATGTCACCATTGTTACCATCATCCCCACCTTTTTCGTCTGCCTAAACAACGGACAGATGGCCTGCTTACTCATTTAACAAAAGGTATACAAAGACTATCAAATATATCATAAACGCTGACCCACACTAACCATGAGGAAAATGCAAATCAAACATGTTTATACACACCCTCATCCCAGTTAGAATAACTGCTATATGAAAGAAATGCTGGCAAGGACATATGAATGAGGACATCTCAGAACCTGGTAGTGAGAATGTAAATTAGCATAGTCATTGTGGGAAAAAGTACGGAGTTTTCTCAGACAAATAGAACAGACCTGCTCTTTGATTCAGCAACCTCACTGCCCTCAGTAAAATTAAAGGCAGCAAATCCACTTGTCAGTGAGACCTGTACTCCTGTGCAGCTTTCATCTGCCACACATCCACTGAACCTCTGTAGGTCACCCTCTTTGTGCACATTTTGTCAAAGATATTATGTGATAAAAATACATACTTTGATCCCATTGTCTGCTGCTTTTAAAAGAATGATATACCTAAGTCACACTAATTATTTCCTATTTAAAATATTGCTATGGTGGATTATCCCACCTTTGATTTGAACAGCATAGGCGGCATGCATCTTGGAAAACAAATAGACAATGCTAGGAAGCTCAAGCCCAAATCACACTGCTCTGCAGTCGTTTTGTTCAGCCTGTCTCTGCTGTTGGTGTTGATACAATAGACCCAAGCAACATCTGCCTCTACCGTTACCATGGAGATGCTGCCTTGTTTTTGGAATCTTTCTTCATCATGTTATGCATCCAACAGGTCTGTAAATGCTCTATGTTCTGATTTCTCATATCTAATAAAGAAGAATCACTGCAAAGTTAATCTCTGCCCTTTTCACCTTGCACTGTTTGCTGATAAACATATGATTTCTTACAAAGCTTTCTCTGTCCTTCCATCTAGAAGATACTACTTAGAATAAATGGAATAGTTAGTAAATAGTCCCATTCCAATTTCTCCAGCTGTGAGTTGTGACCTTAGATAACAGACTGGAAAGAGTCAGGAAAATTTTGTCAACAGAAAAGAGTTTCTGGACTTGCAATGGAAAAAAAATTTGATTCAAAAAGTAACAACAGAATCTACTTACAACATGATCTTTCTATCCATGTCTTCTCTTCTGCTCCTCCTTTACCTTCTTCTCTTCTCTCTTTTCTTTCTCAAGTTTGTGGGGGTATGGTTATGTATACATTTGCAATAGTAATTCTTGTTGTAATACAATGTGAGACTTGAGTTTCTTAGGGTCAGCAAGGCAGGTAAGATTTACATACTGAGCAATAAAGTAAAACTGCTAGGAAAAACTTTCAGCACCAGTTGCTTAGGGCTGTAAGTCTAAATTTAATTTGAACAAGAAACAAAACCTGGCACCTCCCAGTGCTACAGCCTCAGTTGTGGCACAGGCCATCAGGAAAGTTTACTTTGCCCTGAGGATGAGCAAATGGACTGATTACCGATGTCTTTATTTTCTTAGGGAAAACACAAGCATTAAATTTATGAGATAAAATATTGGGTAATAAACAGGGATGAGAAATTTGAGAATCTTTATTGCAGGGTTAGTTTAGGTTATTGTTTTTCTACCTTCCAGTGAGGTAAAACCAGGGCATGCTTATTTTTTTCTATCCATCTAGGCAGTTATGAATCAACAACTTTGGGCATGTGGTAATTCTATGTTCTTGGATATCGTGGTTTAATAAGGATCAGGATAAACAATTAGGCCAAACAGATGTTTATTCAGGGAGAAATAACTCACAACATAGACAGGTGAACACCAACAGGTTCCTGCTTCCAAGAATTCCTTTGGAAGTCCTCATGTCCCCTTGTGGCTTGCAAGAGAACACTCTCCATGCCTCCTCCAACTTAGTTCCCTAGATCACTTCCACCCCTGGCCCCACCCCCAATGGGTGTGGTCAGTGCCAGAGAAGGAAACAAAGTGAATATCCCACTACATTTGGATATCTGGGAATGTCTTGGATGGAATGCTTTTGCCAGGGCCCTAAACACTGACAAAATGCCTGTCAATACAAATAATGGCAGTAAGCCAGATCTTTGCAACTATGGAGAAGATGGGAACAAGGACCTGATAGCGGGGGACAGGTCTCACTCATAGCTAAGGAGTGTAATCAGTAAACTAGGACCTGTCAATGGACAACAGGTTTTACACATAGCTGGGGGGAGGGTGTGTGTAATCAGTAAACTCCAAATGCATGGGAGAAATTGTGCCCAGCAAGTAATCAGATAGTGTTGAACTGTGGCAAGTAAGCCCCAAGTTTGTTGCAGAAAGGAACACGTTACAGAAAGAATCTACAGCAAGAAACAGCTACTTTTATTGATAAGACTATATTCCAATACACCTTGTGTCCTGGTTTAATCTACCA